TATTCCAACAGAGAAGTCTTTGGAGGCCTCATGCTCAGAGAATAAGTGCCTGGTATTTCACATCTCCATTAACAGTTATGTCTCCATTAACATATTTCAAGTGGTGCATGAAGAAAGGGAGCTATTGAAAATTCACAAAGCCAAGATATTCTTTAGTAACTTAAAATGGTCAGACAAAACATATTGTCATGCTCAGACACAGCTCTTCAAGGATTTTGAATTTTTTTTTTCTTTCTCTGAAAGAGATTGAATAATGTTATATCTGAAATCTTATACTGCACTTCAGTTATGTCATGAAAGATAGAATTCATATTTGATATTAATGGAGCAGGTGAAACGTGAAATGATATTTCTTTAATCTTTAATGAAATTTCTGGTTTTAGCATTTAGCTTGTCTGTTCAATGACACAGAAGAGCTAATAATATCACTGTTTTTGAAGAATTCATTCACTACAGGCAGCATGATTTTCTGAATCTGTTGGAGGCTGTTTAGGTGCTCCAATGATGCATGAAAATAATAATAATAAAAAAATCCTGTGTCCTTGAAGCCCAGTTATTAGAATTGGAAACGTATAATTAAAAAAGGAAAAAAAAAAATCTCCCAGTAAGCCACTACCCTGGAATAGGCACGCAGTAGTTTATAAAATAAGAGTTCTACAGGAATTAGCAGGAACAACAGGCTTTCAGGAAGTCTTCAACCGAGCATGCTCTATAGCTTAAATATTGAACACTGAGAAACTGAATGGTGCTTTCTGTAGCAAACTGTTTCTTTGCTGAACGAATTTGTTGTTTTAAAATTTTATAATTGCTTTTGTAAAACCCCATGAAACAGGAAAAGCTACTAATGATGTTGCAAGTTTTTGTGGAGAGAATCTGATTTTTCCTCATGGGGATGTATAAGTGAGAAAATATTGTGCATGACAAAAAGCTTGCTATGAGACAGAGCAGTAGCAAGAGGAGGTCCTGTGGGGGCACACGCACAGTGTGCCACCTCCATCCCAGCCTCTTTGGCACCAAAGTAGATTGTGGAATCTCTTGAGGTCATTCACCTTTATTTTCCATGATTTCAGCCTAGAATTTTAATTTTTCTTTCGAGGAGGCAGAGGAACATTGAAGTAGTGTCCAAAGGATGCATTTATACTTCCAAAAATTGGAGATGCTCTCCGTACCCGTTAAAGCTGGCTGGTAACAGAGCTAATATAAACCTTGGCCATTCTCCCAGCTGACTGTCCTAATAATAGTAAAGCCCCTATGAGTGAGTAGCTAATACTGGGGATCTGCCAGGCAATTTTCATTAAAAAGAGCAATTGGTGACAATATCCTTGGAGGAGACCAGCTTGTCTTCCTCAAAACACCACTGGAATGACCAAGAGGAGGCTCTTTCTCCACTCTTTGTTTTCAGTTTTCCTTTTGTTGTTAGCACTTCCCTGAAGTCTTTGATCTTTTTGAGGTGTCTCTAACACCTGCTTCTCTTTGCTTTTCAGTTACACTTTTTTTTGTATGCAAAATGCTGCAAATAAATTCACCCTCTCACCCTTTCATCAGCTCATAGGGAAACTCCTAAGCCTGTGTGGTTGAGCTGGGAAGTAGCACTTTGTGCAGTTGGGTGTTGGCAGGTAGGTTTTTCCCCATCTTTCTTGTTTTAAAGAGGACGTGGCTCTCTTCTTCCATCCAGCCTGAAGAGAGAATAGCTAGTGAAACCAGGAGGGTAGCTAATAAACTCAATAGGTAGTAACCAGAGGTAAGATGTGCATGAGGCACTTGCAAAAGCCACCAGTGTGTAACCACATGGCCATTGAACCACATCTTGACAACACCAGTGTGAACATTAGGGCTTGAGAAACCTTGAAAAGACAATTTGACCATGCTGTGATGAAAGGAATATACCACTTGTAAAGTAGCCTTGTCTTGGGCTGCTCCAAGGACCAACGTCGCTCATAGTAGTCTGGATGTGCTCATAGTGTAGTCTGGATGTCCCCCAGCCTGTCTGTTGCTGAAAGCAGGACTCCCATGCCCTGCAGGATGTCTGGGAGGTTAGGGTTCCTTCCCCAGGAACTAATGCCGTGGAGACCCTCTACAGCTGCAAATGGGGCTTTTGGGGTCCCTCTGCATTGTTGTGGCTCTTCTGCCAGGACCAGGCAGAGGGAGAGGTTGAGGAGCTCTCCCCAGGCTTTTTAGTAAATGTTTCCCTCCTGATTTATTAAGAGCAGCTTGAATTTTAATTTGCAGAAAATATGCCTATCAGTAGTACCCGCAATCACATTTTCTGTTAAAGTCTTCAGATGTGACCCAGAAATCTTATCAGAGAGCGCTGGGCAGAGTGCCTGCTTAGCAAAACTCACTGCAGGTACATTTGAGTGCTGCCATTTACAGAATGTCTAAGCTGTGCCTCAGCTATTTCAGATGACATATATATATATTTAATCCATGGCAGCATATTAGCAGATCAGACTTAGATTAATCAGGCTAAAGATAACTTCTGGACCTTTTCTACATGTAGGTCAGAGAAAAAGAAGGTAGATATTTATCTGTGCTACAACCCTACAACTGTGTAGCAGATGAAATTTTTGGGGGCATCAGTCAAAGAAATACTGTAATAAGATTAAGGGAAGCAAAGTGAAAGGGGCGTGTTTGTGTCTGTATGTGTGTGCACAAACGCAATACAAGTTTTTCAATTTGCAGAAACGATCAATTTCCAGTTAAATTATATCTGTTATTATAGCAGCAAATATGTAAATTTACTTTATGCTAAAATACCTTCCTCTGTTTCCTTACTGTAATAAAACAAGTCCTGCCCACTGATATTATTACAGAAAGCTACAGCTAGAATAACAGCACAGCTGTTCAAGGGAAAACTCGCTGCATGTTAGGAACAGGCCTCATGTTTTGAGCCTTGGTGATTCCTGGAATAAGTCAACTAATGCAAAGGAATTAGTTCCTTTAAAAATAGATTAGGTCACATTTAGAATTTTTAATGTGAAATGCTACTGTGTGTATTAATGGAGCTCTTCTTTTCTGCAGATTAAAAACTGAGCTAGTGTTAATAAATCAAAGGAAACATTAAGATGCTCTGTAGCCTCTACCAATGTCCCTCGGAAAAGGCTTCTGAAACACTGTTATATACACAGATTCTGATGGGAGGAAAAATTAATTGCAATTGTAAATGTTCTTTAGCAAATTCTTCATTTTTGACCTCACTTATTGCACTTGCAACATCAGAAGGATCAGTGATGAAACCTCTCATTGTGGTAATTCAAAGAAACTAAGTCACTGGGCTCCAAAGTGAGAAGCAAATGTGCCACAGCAGCAGACAGCTAAGATGTAGGCTGAGACCTTGCCCATACTGAAACTTTCACCATCAACCTGTAACTGTGTGGATTACATCCAAGGTCAGCATAAAAGTTTCTTTTGGTTTGACTTCAGCTACTACAAGGAAAAATTATTCTGATGTTCTTCCAAGCAGATAACATGCTTTCAGAGCCCTATTACATGTAATGTAATACATATGGAAGGGGAACCCAATTTTCCTTCAGCAGGCAGCTCTTTCTGCTCTTTTTTTCTAAGGTAATGACTCAGTAACAGCCCTTCTCTCCGCCCCTCCTCTGAAGAGCATCTTTGGTAACCCTTGTTAGAAGCATCACTGATGATGTCCCTCATCTCTCCCAGAGGATAGAGTTCATTAGCTTATTAGAGGAATAACGCACTCACTCTCCTTTTGTAAAGGTTAATTAGCTCTTCATAGACATTTGTCCATGCTGTTCTCACTGGTCTCCCACAAATGCAGCCATACACAGGTCCCTTTCAAATGCCAAGCAATGGCTAAGAGGACACCTTTAACCACACAGTGGCAGGATTCTTCATTTCCAGACTCTCCTGCCTGTTTGTAACATCTCTTCCTGACAATGCAGAGTGAGGAGACAGTGTCTCTAGTGTGGAATAAGTGACTAGTGCTCTCATTTTTTCACTGGAAAATCCTGCTAAAGACTGTCTCCAGTTCAACATGCAACATTATGATTTCTTCCTGTTTGAAGAATGTGCCCTATCAAGTCTTTTCCTGAAGGGTCTTGATTTTTATCATTGAGATTGCACCCAGCAGATGAGACAGAAGATATTCTGTCAATACATGTTTTAGACTTGCTCATCTTTGATGAATTTCCCCCCTTCCAGTTAGTCTGATCTGGGGTGGGGTCTGTTCTCGGCCTCACCACTGCCCTGCTCTGTGGCCGTTACTGTGGCAATCCCTGGCCCACTTCCCACCCCTGGGAGTCCCCCTTCCTTGTTCCCCTTGGCTGGTCGTGCCCAGGGGCGCTGTGCTGGGCACAGTAGACTCTCACCTCAGGCCAGGCTTGCAGAGCAGCCCAAGGTGGTGTCTGTGTTGGCTGTCTCATTCCCACATCTCCCCACTACCAGCACCATTGAGCTGCCTTTCTTCTTGCACTTTGCCCCTCAAATCTCTCACTGCATTCTTCTGGCACCTGGGTCAGGGAAAAACAGGCAATGCCCAGGCTACTGGGCACATCCCCACACAAGGGTCTTTAGCATCATTGCAAATACCAATAATACCAATAATAAGTTGGATTTACTTTCTGTTTCACACACTGGCATAGATCTTTTCTCTTTTTGGACTGAAGGGAAAACAGGGGAGAAGTTCTTTCAGTGCTGCAGTGTTTCTCAAACTATTTCTGCAGCCACAACTGCAACCCCACTGAACATCTCAGGGAGTGCGACAGGCTGAAAGTGCCTGTAAAGGGGTCTCTGAGCTGCACCGAAATCAGGTTCAGCACCCACAACATGGTCAGCTTCAGAATGTGCTGTAAACCTAACCTGTGAGCCTAGAGGGTCTTTTCACATCCTTGCATGTGTGGTCCTTCTCCCACACCAATTATTGGTGATGCATCCTCTCCATCCTGCTCTCACATCCCTGCTTGGGAGCCTTGGGGTGCTGGGTAGTGACCTTCAAAGCTACTTGTCAAGCACATGTCTGGATTGCTGTATTCCAGAGACCCTTTGCAGCAGCAAACAGGACTTGCAGCTGACAGAAGGCATTTGACCAGGAGCCAGGGGATAAAGATGTGATTCCCAAACATCTCCAGCCACGGGCCTGACCCTGTTATTGGTTGCACTCTTCATCACCTTAGGGAAAATGGATTCATGTCAAAGCAAAGGTAAGGTGGAAATCTGTGAATCCTTCAACCCCTCTGTCTAAAGGCATTTTCACTACACACTGCTAAGGACTATATTTCCCCTGTTTAGATATTCCTCCCTGATCTTACTGTTTTTCCCATGGAAAGCAGAAGGATTAATCCAGCTGCTGTCTCCCTGAAACGACACACACTGTACACCATCCCCACAACAGGAACCCACTACGCTGAAAATCAGATTCAGGCCTTGTGATAATCTGAAGAAGCTGTTTTTGAATCAGTCATACAGCTGTTCAGATGACGAGAGAGGATTTTGTATAATTTGTCCCAGTAAAATCCCATCTTTTAGCACAAGTAAAATGTGGTCAGAATCCCCAATATTCACTGCTTTCTCATGAATATTGCCTCACAGCATTTCTCCATAACAAAGATATTAATTTAGCATGTTTGTTTCAGTGGCAACTTTAAGAAATGAGTGTATGCATTTCACAGAGTCAGTTTTCCTAGCTATTATCTGACATACTTATTTTGGCTCAAGTTTCTGCTCCTTCTAAAAGGATACTGAAGAGAGCTAATCCACTCTGAATATTTTCCCTCCCAGATTATTTGTAGTTCTTAGCGTTGGAAACTGATCCTTCATTAGGAACTGATCTAGAAGCTATTGAAGTTTTTTTTTTTTCCCCTTCTGCTTTCAGTGCTCTCAGTGTATTGGATCTGGAAGTAAATTGGTTTGATGAATTTGTCTGGAAATGGTGAAACTTTTCTTGTTCTGTTTAGCCCCAAATGTGACAACATTTTACATTTGCCTTGCAAAAGTAGCAAAGTTATCTTCAAAAGGCACAAATGTCTTCTTTTTCTCTTCACATTAAACTAAAGAAGATTAATTTTTAATGTAAAATCTTTAAGGGGCATTTATGGAGAAAACATGTCCTTGCTCAGATTATTTTCCCAGGCAGAAGTTCCTCTAGGCAGCCTTGGATTTGGTTTTCTAGTTTTCCACAACATTGTAAAACACACACTTAAATGTAAAACAATTAGAATAAACTACTTTCAAGTCTGGAAAAAACTAATTTTCCACAGATACTATATTATAGATAATGAAGTACTATATTATAAATAATGAAAATTTAAATATTAAAGTTATTTTCATACTATGTGTAATACAAAGCTCATTCTTTGTAAAAAGTTTTTGTTTCTTTGTTCCTTGTTGTGTTCTAATTTCAAAGAGATAAGGATTATAAAGCTTGCATACACATATCCACCCACACATCAAATATATTTTTTTCTGTATTTAGAAATATATTTCTAAATACAGAAATGCCATAATTGGACTGAGTCATATCTTTTGAAAAGTTCATAAAATGTGACTTCCAGGTGCAGACACAGAATCCTGTTGCTGAGTCAAAGATACCAATTCAGCCCAGTTAGAGCCCTTTCCATTAAATGCCCAAGCCTTTTCAAAGCTGAGTTACAGATTCCTCCACAATGTTTTTAATAATGTCAGCTATGAAAGGCTGTAAGTTTTGGCTGGTGCCTCATGTTTGGTCAGCAGCTCCTGTGCCACCAATGTCAATGGCAGGTTTGCACAAAGCTGTAGCACTCCAGCCTTCAGTAGACAAACATTGTTTTTCCATCAGCTCTTTCCTTTCAGCATCTCGTGCTGGGAAAGAAGGGAATTAAAGTGAGGAAGTCTCATTGACTGTGGATGAGGTTTGCCCTTACTCCTCACACCTCTGTAGCAGATGAAAAAATCTGCCCCCAGAAACAGTGTGTAACCTGGAAGTTGTCCTCCAGCATTTATGAATGCTGATATCTCATATCAGATACTCCAAAAACCTCTATGGCTACACCACCATTTGATTCAGTACATCACAAGCGATGGCTCTGCTACCTAAAAAAAAAAAAAAATAGGAAAAAACCCCCACAAACCAAGAAAGAGTAACAAAGAGAGATTTCTCATCTCATATTGCCTTTTTTTTTTGGTTTTTTTTTTTCCCCCACTTTCCTTCTAAGGCAACAAGGTTTTTTTAAAGATCTGCTTTATCAGTTAGGCTTTATTGCAGTCCCTGATAGCACCTATCTGGTGAGAGATGGCTAAACCTTTCTCCTTGACTACTAAACCTCTCAGGTCCAGCCTGTAACAACAGGATGCCAATGACCTGACTGAATGCTGCTTCCTTTAAAGACATGCTTAAAGCTTTTTAAGCTTCCTTGATAAATTAGAAGTCATCATAATTATTTTATAGCTAAATGCAAGTAGATTAAATGCCCTAGGGCTTAATTTTACCTTACCAGCTAGAATTGTAGCATATAGGTTTTCCAATATATCTGGAAGCTCTTCAGAATTAATCCTGGGTCTCTTTCCTTCCATCCTGCTGTGTCTCCTACGTCACATATGCTGTTTGTCTGGGACTTATTTTGTAAGCCATTCTTTTTCTTCTTGCAATGGTATCTTGAAACGAAACTGCTTTAATTTTACTGCTTCCCTGAGTGCAAGGTGACCATTTTTTGAGTCTGGTTTCTGTGCTAACCCTACTGAGAATTTGTTTAGGAAGGTCTCTGTCTGTAAGTTCTGCTATCCTTGCTTTTGACATTTTATCTGCAGGTAGTTTTTTGGCCAGTTTCTGGTGCCAGCCAAGTTCTTTGAGAGAAAGTTCTTTGAGAGCCATCCAGTATCAAAACACCTTGGTGTGAGACGGTTCACAGGCCGCTAACCAGCATGCTCAGAACTCTTTTGTATCATGTGGCCATTCCTTATTGCTGTGCTCAGTGGGCCTTGTCCATTTGCACGCACCTTTTGTATTTAAAATTTAGTTAGTTAATTTCAAGATTCATGACTAATTGAATAATCGACATAAAGTCATAATTTCTGTCTTCAAAAGAAAGAGAGAGAGAGAGACCTATTTGGAATTTGTGCACGGATTATTCTCATGAATGGACCAAAGTTTACATACAGATCAACAGCAGAGCATTCTTCCCATGTATGCTGTCAGCAAACCTCAAATCTGATCAGCAAAATATTTTAGTGAACTACTTAGTCAGTGCTGACGGCCAAGCACTGCAGAGCGTGCAGTTGAATTTGTAATGTGGGTGCTGGAGTAACATGAGCTTCACCACAGAAAGGGAAATACAGACATCCATCAGCTGAGAATAGTTTCACACACCTATTGCAGTGGTCTGTGGTCATATGGGGGAGCTATGAGCAATAGGCTCTGACATTCTGACATCTGGACACCGAGGATTGACATTAATCCTGGCATTACACCTTAATTTAAAACTGAGTTTCTGGAATGAGGGACTGCTAAAAGTGAGCTCTGAATGTTTATGTACCAGTGAAAGCTCCTAACTTCCCACACAAACACAGGTTACAGCTGGCTATCCTCACCCTGCTGAAACTCGTGGGACTGTTCTTGGGTTTTCCTCTGCTATATTATCCAAATACTGTTTCATTTTAAAAAGAAATAAAAGCAAATCTGATACTATAAAAACTGCAAATACTATGATACTTAAATTTGCATCAGAAACTTGTTTTGCCAAGCAGAATAGTTTGGACAGTTGTCTGGAGCTCTCCTTTCTGGGGGTATCAGTCACATCTGGAGCCATGGTCTCAAAGAGATGGAAGTGACTGTTACCAGTTCCATCATAGGTATAAGTGACCAAAGAGCTGAGGAGACACAATAATTTATGTAAGTATTTGAGAATCAGAGATGTCGAGATCTCTAGATTCCCTCTCCTCTCCTACGAGAGGAACAAAGCCTGGTAGTTACAGGCAGCCAGGTGGAAAGAGATGGGGACACAGACACAGATACTCAGACACACAAATAAAGGCTCGGACAGGCTGTGGAACCTGTATCCGCAACCTCTCAGCAGCAGCTTTTCCAGGAGTGAAAGTAGAGTGAGAAGTGCTGCAGGTACAGTACGTCTCTGTACCACATCTCACTAGGGGAGTGGGAAAAAATGTCTGTACTGGGCAGCTCTACAGGATGTGTGTTTCGGTCACACAAGGGAAGGGCAGAAAACTGAATGCAGATTAATTTGCTTTTAAAATATTGATCATTACCATGTCTATAAGAGGCACCTGCCACGGGCCATCTCAGCATATCCTTCAGCTCACCCAAGTGGTAAAGCTGTAAGAAAGTCAGGGGAAAGTTTAGGATACCCCCAAGCCAGCCACAGCATGTGTGAAGCTGAGGTGTGCTTCTTGCCATGCAGGGATGCTTGCTTGAGTGGGGAGCAGTGTGCCTCCTCTCAAGGGCTTGGCTCAGCACATGCAAATGTTCTACATATTCTCACATCATATCTTAGTCACATTTCTGACACAGTCCTTGATGTACTCCCAGGGGCTGCAATAGCCCCTTTGCTGCAGAATAGATAGCAAAATGTGGCGTGCTAAGCCAGGTCAGCAGAAGGCTGCTTTTCACCCTCTTTCTGCTGACAGAGCGGTGGAATAGCTGGGCTGTGGCACGAACAGCCCTGCTGCTAGTGCTACAAATGAAGAAAAGAGTACAGAAATGTTAGTACCACATTTAGCTTTATTGAAATTGAACAAATATCTTTTTTTAATAAACCCTTTTACAGCAAGTGTAAAATTTTAATGTTTGACTCATCTTATGTTACAGGTTGTCTTCTTCCGTGTAAGCAAAAATACACTCTTTTTTTTCTTTTCTTTCTTTTTTTTTTTTTTTTTTTTTTTTTTTTTTTTTTTTTTTTTTTTTTTTTTTTTTTTTTTTTTTTTTTTTTTTTTTTTTTTTAAGATTTTCTACTTTAAAACATGTAGCAAGGATTTGAATAATGCAGATCTGGCACCAAAAGGTAACAGGTTCTGAAAATCACAGTACAGTTTTAAAATTCTTAGGTTAATTAATGATATTTAAAATGATAGCCACTTTGAGTAAAGATATAAATTAGAGGTCTGTAAACAAGTTGTGTTTACCTATAGAGCTATTGACTGCAGCTACAATGAGAGCGGTAATAGAAACTCAATGCTAAACTGAGCTACACCTTTGAGGAAACAAGTTCTTACT